GGTTGTTGACTTTCATTTCCCTTGAAGTCTGTTGAGTTTGATCAGAAATGTTGATTCTAGTATCGTTTTCCAGTGCAGCGTATGACGTGTCAGATGCCTAATAATCTTAACACTTTGTCACATAGTTTACCTGTTCCTGACATTTTACTTCATGTATACTCAGATGCAATTGATTAGAATAAGCCTCAATGACATAAATCTATCATTCAGAAGGTTGAATTATGTGAATAACATGTTGGAAGATTTTGATCAACTGAAAGTAATTGAGCATGGGTTTGGAAATACAATAGGTTGTTTGGAGTACATCAAGTGCAGAGTCTGATAATCAGGAAGAAGACTTAATAACTTTCCAAAGGCTCAAAAGTTTATCTGGTCAAAACATCGCTACATACAGGAAGTAATGCTAAAACAATTTGTATATTGATTCTGATGAGTTTAGTTGGTTTTTGACTTCTTCTGTATCAACTATTATGAGCATTGATAAATGGTATATCATATAACATAACTCAATCCTGTTATTTGACATTTCTGCATTTCCATTTCATCGTTTGGTTCTATGCAGATTGCTCGTGTTTGATGAGATTGGAAATGGAAGCTTGAGAGATCATCTTAATGGTATCATCGAGAACTGAGTTGTTTGAATTCATAGTTTGTGTATGTTAGTCATAAATGATTGAATCACGGTGGGCCTTCTGTGTCAGATCCTCTCAGAACTCCCTTGAATTGGAGGATGAGGCTACAAATAGCCGCAGGTGTGGCTGCTGCGCTGGTGAGTTCTCTAACCCCGACAGTATTGTCACTTGATATATCATATTCATAAGTTCCTCAGGACCTCTATGCACTAAAAAACATTACAATAAAAGGGCTTAAAGCATCGATAGTTAATTCTCTCTGATGCAGGAGTACTTGCTTCTTTTCACCGATCCTCCAATGTGTCATGTTTCCATTAGCTCAAGCACTATTATGTTAGATGAAAATTTCACTGCAAAGGTACCAAAATAAACTTTTCGAGTTTCATTGCTAAACTTTCAGTAAGCTTAGAAGAAATGGAAGCCTAAAATGTTATATTCTTTCTTTTTGCCTCCTCAGATATCTGATGTTGGCTTTCTCTGCTCCCCCGTGACCATCGGCAGTTATCAGGAGGCATCCAAGTCAGATGGTTAGTTTTTCCAACATAGTAATTGCAATGGATTTGCAGAATCACTCTCTCCAGATTTAAGTTCTCCTTCTCTTTCTAATACGAATCCCGGCCAAGCATGTGAGAAGAATAATATACTATTTCTCAATTCTACTGGAGTATTCTCTCGGATATAAATACAAGAGTTAATGAACTGTAGTTAAAAACAAACTAAAACCAACTTCTAACTAATCTGATACATATAACATATTTAACAACACAACTAATAATACTTCCCATTGCTGCAGACTATATGGATCAAAAATGTGCAAAGATGATTTACCAGCTTGGAGTTCTGATCCTGGAGCTCATTACTGGACAATCGTCTGATGGAACAGGTGGCGATCTGATCAAGTGGATCCAAGGGACAAACTTTGCCAGAACAATAAACAAGATGATCGACCCCGACCTCGGAAATAGCTTCGACCAAAAAGAAGTAAGAAACCTTCTAGCAATAGCAAAGTTGTGTATAAAGTCCAAAGATAAGCCAAGATTCTCCATTCCCCAGATTTTCAGATACCTGCAGAGTAAAGTAGAGGTGACTAAGTACTAGTATTTTCTCCACAGCTCTATTTGGAAAATTTCCTCTTTTTTCTCTTTTTTTCTTCCCCTGTTTTGTTCAAAGACTTTTTTTTTTTCTCCACGTAAATTATATTATATTATTAGTTTTTTTCTTTTTTTAACTTTTTCAAAGGGAAAATGGTGTATTATTTTGTTCGTTCATAAGTTTACATAACATAAGCTTGTCTCCTATTCAGGTAAACATGTTATATTCCATTGCATTTTGTATACAGTAATAACAAAGGCTAAGTGAGGTTGCCAAGGATCAATGCAGATACTATGAGCTTTTTCTCTTTCTTGGATAGAGATAATTGAAATAGTTATCGTACTTTCTTTAGTACGATAGGGATAGGGGCGAAGATTTGAACCTTCGAACTCAATGAAAGAGTAGATATTTTAACATCGAGGTTGCTCGTGTGGGCATATAATCTAAATAGTTGATAGATTATTTATACCATTTGCAACGGTTTCTATAGGGAATTTTACTATGAATACCTACAATGTTTTCCTTGACGGGAGAAAGATCAAAGTGGGTACTAGACAAGCAAATCTAGTTATGTAAGTGAACTTTTAGGTTCATTTTACTGGTCCTTTTTTTTTAAATATTTTTGCCCCCTCTCTCTTTTGTCAAATTATAAATTTGATTTTAGGAAAGTTTAAAATCATTTTAAATTGATTTTTAAAGTATAAGTAAGTCTATTTTTTCAAAATCGTCAACTCTACTATCACTTCCAAACACATCCTTAATAGGGAATAGCGACAATTATCAAATTTGTTATTCATAAGATTCATAAACCAAAATAAATTTTCGAGAGTTGAGTGAACAAAGTAGTAAAAGCTTAAATACTGAAAGTGAGATCTAAACCTTAAAAGATATAAAGAACGGGAGAAATAATCAAAATCACAATAATTAGGGTGGAAGCATATATGGCAAAATAAAGCCAACTAATGGTAAATATAACGACTTTACAAATATTAAAAAAAAAAAAAACTTAACCTTAACTCACCCACGTGAAAAACTAAATTAGTCTTGAAATGAATTTTTATAAAATTACCGTGTTCCAAAAATATAATCTTGTTGCCATATTTGTAAATATGACAATAACGTGAATTGTCGCACAATAAAATTTGTTTAGCAGCAATAATAAAAACACTAATACTAAAGAGAGATTTTCTATATATTTAATGTTTTAGATAATGATATAAAATATAACAATAGCAATCATCTACAAAAAAAAAAAAGTCACGTTAGAATTTTCACTCCATATACTACATTATCACATTTTCTAACAATAATTTAATTATTTTTTTATAATATAATAGTTTAATTGAAATAAATCGATATCTCATCAAAATAATAGTGATGAATTTTTTAAGTAAAATAAATGTGGGATATGACAAGATGCCTCTACGACCGCTCAACTATGCTCACTAGACATGAAATTTAAAAAAATCTCAATATTTAGCTAGCATACAATTTTGTGTAACGTGTACTTCCCTGGCCTCAAAATCGTAATAAAATAGGGAAATTAATGTAAAAAATAAGGTGTAATTATGTTTTCTTAAGAAAAAAATTAAGAACAGTGCGAGTGCAATTATGTTTCTAGAGGGAGATTTGAAATATAAAAAATACGTATTCCCCCCGACATTGATCTGTTGTTGACGCTTGTTTTCTATTGTTTATTAATAATTCAGATTACTTCTCAAATTCCTTAAGGATAAAGAATTTCCACTTCTTTCAATCCTGATTCCTCTGTTTTAGCTTTCCATCCGCCAATCTTAAAGGTGTCCTAAAAGCTTCCAATAATGGCGACGATGAGAGTGTTCGTAACAGCGCCGATGGAGTTGCTCCTCTTGCTGGTGGCGCTGTTACTTCACTCCGAAGCTGCAAATACGAACAATGTGTACCAACCTTGCGCGGACACCAAGATTCAGAGATCCGATGGCTTCTCCTTCGGAATCGCATTCTCTTCCAGAGACTCGTTCTTCTTCAATCAATCTCATCAGCTCTCGCCGTGCGACCGCCGTCTTTCTCTGCCGTCGCTCAACTCACAGCTCGCAGTTTTCAGACCTAGAGTAGACGAGATCTCCCTTCTCACCATAAATACTTCCGATTTCTTTCCGGTACTTTATCGATCTTGATTTTACGTTACGGATTATTTCGAATACATGTTCGTACAGATCAGTGCAGTTTCTAATTCGATTGAAGTTTTTATTTCGTTTTTGCTTTCATTTTCAAGCATAGAAGTTGGTAGAAGTAAGTAGATTATATTCTCCTTACTTTCACGAGGATTTAACTTAGGGATTTTTTATGCTATTTTATTCGTTGAATCGGATTGCCATCTTGCAAATTCATTATCGCTTCTTAGTTCTTACTCGGGTTACACCTCGGAATCTATGGCACAGTGCATTGCTTCTCAATGGCAGGTATATTAGTATGAGTGTCAAATCCCGTTTGATGAAACGTGTTCATAGACGAGACTAGATAGATAGAATCTTCACGTTCTTCATTCTTGCTTCCGTCTCTTAGTTATGACTTCGCAGTGCACAGTGTCTTATCTCTCAATGACGGGTTACTTGGGGTGAGTTTAAAATCTCGTTTGATGAAATTTGTTCATAGACCAAACTAGATAGATAGAGTCTTCATGTTATTCATTCTTGATTCCGTCTCTTACTCAGTTATAATCTCATCTCAGAATCTATGGCACACTGTCTTGTCTCTCAATGACAGGTTACTTGGTTTTGAGTTTAAAATCTTGTTTTACGGTATGTGTCAATAGACGAAACTAGATAGATAGAGTCTTCATGTTCTTCATGTATGTACTTACCAGAACAGTATTCATATAGCATTTATTGAATGATGAATTTCTACAGTTCATAACTGATGAGTTCAATATCATTGGAAACCCCTTTCTCCGTCTTTAAGTTACAATTTCTTAGAGCTATAATGTACGACCGATCCCCTTCATAATGAAGTGAGAGAGCATCAGACATTAATGAGCTGTGATGATTGAAGTCATGTAATGGCTTCTTACTAATTAGGGATGGATGGACATTTCTCATAATGTGGCTAAATGTCAACCCTTACTTGACTGCCTCAAACCCATTTCTCTGCTTGTTAATGCAACATCAATAATATAAGTAATAGAATAGCCCTAATACTAAACGCCTTGCTATTTTCAGGATAGTTTTGGTGGTTACATGGTGGCATTTGCTGGAAGAAAATACGCTGCAAGGTCTCAGCCTGCGTTTGTTGCTAACAGCACGTTCATCGTGACGAGTTTCACCCTGGTGAGATCTAATTAAAAATCTGTTAACTGCAGCAATGCAGGCTATGTTACTGTTAGAAGTGAAATTGTATAGATGAATAAAAGGAATTTTGGTGAGAGCAGGTACTTGAGTTTGAGAAGGGAAGGCTACAGAACTTGTTCTGGAAGAGAGATGGGTGCTCTTCGTGCTCGGGCAAGTCCAGATCTAGTTATGTCTGCCTCAACAATCAGGATTGTGCCATCAGAACATCAAGTTGCAGGAACCGAGGAGGCACTGTAGATTGTAGTCTGGGAATTCAGCTGACGTTTTCAGGCACAGATAAGCATCTGACAGCACTTAACTCCTGGTATGAAGTTAAAAATCTTCGGCAATATTCCCTCTATAGCGTGTACTCAAATCTCATGGATTCTCTCACCAGCCAGTATAACAGGTTCTTCTAACCAGTTATTCTTCATAATTCCTCTTGGGGTCTGCTCATTTATTAGTTCTATACATTTGACTGTTTATTTTGGTCTCCTGCCTCTTTTGGCTCCCTTTCCTCCGTATGGTACAATCCCATATGAAAGTCCATTTGGACTAATTACTACCATTCAATATATACTGATTCCGTCTCCTGCTGTTTTGTTTTGGGAAGTTCTAATTGAAATTGGCCATTTAGGACAGGTTTGATAATGAATTTGGAAATGATTTATGAAGATCCAAGTTGAAGTTATTAGTATTCATGGATTTCATTTCGAAATCAATTGGTAATGAAATGAGCCGTCTACGTATATCCCTTTACCTTTTCTACATGGGATCTGTTTATAGAAAAAAGAAGAATTATTTGTTTAAGATTTTTCAAAAGCAATGTTAAAGTCGTATTCTAAAATAACAACGGATTTTGGAAAACAACGAGCGCTTTTTTTGTTCTCTTTTCACTTGTGCATTTGCATTACATTTTGTCTTGCTGTAGTGACTATCATCCTTTTCTCCCTCTGCCATTTTTCAATATCCCATCCAAATATTCCTCCTATCCATGGCCCTTCTAACAAATGTTCAACAAAATGAAAACTTATATTGAAATTATTTTAAGTTGATTGGTTTTTGAAGGCTCTCTCAGTTTGCTTTTTCTTCACTAGCGTATCTCTTAGTCTTAGACTCGTGAAGGTTGAAGAAATAGTATGATTTTCTAGTTTGGTATATTGATTTTATGGTAATGTTTTTTTTTCTACAACATAGGATGTGGATGAACTATACTTATATTGGCCGATAAAATGTTATAAGCTTAATAATAGATTGATGACCTTTAAAACTTTGAATCAGATTTTCACAAGGGCCACTTATCTGCAGTATTCTGGGAAATCAACTTTATTCTGTAAATGATTCTTATTATTAATTTTTTAATTCTCTCCCCCACCTAATTTAGACATAAGTCACAGCAGCCGAAATATTACCAATGCTTTTATCCAAATCTAATTTAAATGTAATGTCAGATTTGATTGTTTTGTAGCTAAATTTATTCTATATTAAACATATAATTGACACCAATTAAGATCATGGATTTGAATCCTTCCACCTCATTTTTTTGTTGTACTAAAAGAGAAAAATTATTCTATATTTAATATTTTATGAAGTTGGTTTAATTGCGCTATCACAACTAACATGAATGTTTTGTTAATCTATGACTATTTTAAATTTCGTACCATTAATTGACGTTAATCTACAAATATTGATGCTGATTGACTTCTAAAATTTATTAATTGACCTTAATTATCTATTAGTATAAAAACAATATAAATCATTATTGTCCAGTGAATCGTTTATCCAACATATAAATATCATTACAGGCTTTTTTTTAAGTAGAGTCAGACTATTGAATTGTAAATATCAAACCTAAAACAATTCTATCTATAAAATTGTTGGATAAAAGGGAAACTGACATTTTTATAAAATAATATAAGACGTGTCTTACGTCAACTTTCTTGATGTTTTTTTTTAATTACAGAAATAGGACTGAAATAGTTTTTTGATACAAAGTTTGTGAATGTAAAAGAAATCTTAAGAATTTTAAATATCAAAATAGATCAAAACTATAAAAATAGAATGAAATAAAATAAGATAAAATAATTTTTTTAATACAACATATGTGGGTGGAAGATTGGACTCACAATCTCTTCGTTAGAGATATATGTCAATTACCGCTAAACTATGCTCACTTTGACATACAATTTTTCATCTTTGAAAATATTTGATGCCAAAATGTCATATTTGCTTATTTTCCCACCTTTATGCAATATTATGATATTATCCCCTATAAATTTTAGTGATTTTATTTTCTGTGTCATCCTCCATTCATTACTGCTAAACCAAATACTAAATAAGCTAAAATAACTCATTCCTATTTAACAATCAAATAAACTCATCTGAACCAAACAGTAACAATTTAATAACTAATATAATTAACTATTGAAAACGAGTTCAAGCATCAAATTAAAACTGTAACAACAAAATTGAAAATTTAACAAGAATCAAAATACAATCAACGTGATTCGAATCTCAACTAAAAATAATTTCAAATACTATTTTCATTATATACTTTTGATTTAGATTTATTTTGGTAATTGTTCTTCCAAAACATCAGTTTTGGTCAATGTATTTACAAAGTCTGTTTATTATTTGTTGTCGAAATATTTCTTGTACTTAAACAAATGACTATTTTGGTCGTTTCGCTTTCACTTTAATCACACTTCACTTATTACTTTTTTCTTTTAAAGGCAACAATAAAATTGTATTAGAAAGTTTGCTTTTTGTATTAAAATTTTACAAATAGTGATCAAATTGGTTGCGTTTTTTAAGTATAGTAACAAAATCATACATTTTAAAAGTACAAATATCAAAATGAACAAAAATTAAAAGTACAATAATAAAAATAAACATTTTGAAAAGAAAAAAATGTTTGATTCTTACGGGAAAACATCTATTTTAATTTAGTGCTGATTACTTTCTTTTAAGTAAGTACTAATTACAATTGCCCTTATTACGTACTTTCCTTTTGGAGAATACGAATCAAAATAAACCAAGCAAATAATAAAATGACTAAATGTATTTCAAAGGAATTGAACACCAATAGGCAAATAAAAAAAGTTTATTTTTGGTACAACAACATGTGAAAAAAAAAAAAAAACCAACATTTGAATGTTGAACATCCAAGAATATTTGGCATTAAATGTTGACATAAATAAATGACCCCAAAGATCAAGCAACAACTATGGACCAACTTGTTTATTGTCCAGTCAATAATTAATGTAACGGAAATCGTAAATTCAAAATTCCATATTTCTAGAAGTTCCCCACTTTACTTTATCTTTATGCTGCAAAAAGTCATAATTTCCTTTCCCAAATAATTCACTTTACCAATAAAATTTTAAACAACAAACCCTTTACACAGTGGGTATTCATTAAATATTCTAATCCCATAAAATATATTTTTTTAATTATTACAAAAAGAACTAAAAAAAAAAACAGTATTTCGAAAATGCTTCGAATTTTGGAGGAACTTTTAGACATAGACATGTACTTTTCAAGATTTGCCAATTCAAATAGCAAATATTCAAAATCTCGTACGCAAAAGTCCAGTCTTTTTTCTTTTCTTGCCTCTGTTCAAACCTGAGTCTCCGATCAATTTTGAATGGATTAAATTATGATTTTAATATCGTAGCATTGTGTTTATTTTTTAAAAGATTAATCATAATTTTAGACCTTGAATTATGTTTTCATAGTTGAGATAATTTATTTGACGTGACCAATTAATATCTTCATCAGATACTAATTTAACTAAAATATTAATATAATAACGTGATGTGTCACATCAAAAATTTTATTAATAG